GTATGGGTGGATGCAATGCCCAAATGCAATCACAAGAGGGCAGTGTATAGATAGAAAGGATTAGCTCCTGGCCTCTTGGTATGTGTGTGCACAGTGTTCAGAAGCAACCACAAGAGGGCAATATTGAAATAGAAAGGATTAGCTTCTGGGCTTTAGGTATGGGTGGATGAAATGCTCAAATGCAATCACAAGAGGGCAGCGTATAGATAAAAAGGATTAGAACCTGGCCTCCAGGTATGTGTGTACACAGTGTTCAGAAGCAACCGCAAAAGGGCAGTGTTGAGATAGAAAGGATTAGCTTCTGCACTTTAGGTATGGGTGGATGCAATGCCCAGATGCAATCGCAAGAGGGCAGTGTATAGATAAAAAGGATTTGGATCTGGCCTCCAGGTATGGGTGTGCAGTGTTCTGAAGCAACCACAAGAGGGCAGTATTGAAATAGAAAGGATTAGCTTCTGGGCTTTAGGTATGGATGGATGCAATGCTCAAATGCAATCACAAGAGGACAGTGTATAGATAGAAAGGATTAGCTCCTGCCCTCCAGGTATGTATGGATGCGATGCTCAAAGGCAATCACAAGAGGGCAGTATGCAGATAGAAAGGATTAGCTTCTGGGCTTTAGGTATGGGTGGATGCAATACTTAGATGCAGCAGAAGAGATGTATTTATAGTAACAGAAAATGCTTCTGGAACACAGCCAGACAGCCCAGAAAACTCACAGCAACCCAACGAATTATATTGTTATTATTATTGTTGTTATTCCCAAAGCGATTTGAACTGTGTTGCCCACACTGCATGCAAACAGGAGTAGCTGTGCTTCCTTGTAAATAACATCCATTTGAGATCACTAGACGTTCACTGAAGGGAGAAGGAGAACCTTCAGGTCTCGATTCAAGGGAGATTTGCATTTCGGTCCTAAGTGGGATTGCAAATTTGCTTAGTAAAAATAAATTAAAATGCACTGCAATTATCCCGCGACAAGGGCTTGATTGTGCTTGAAGCGTGGCTCTCACTAACCTTCTCCTAATTGTCGGTGCCGGCGCCAAACCCTGGGATGATTTCTCCGCAGGCGCTTTGCATTTTGGAGGGCTCTTGTACGTATAGCTTGGGATGAAAAGGGCCTGATATTGAAATATGTGAAGTGATGAGTCGCCATTCAGAGAGGAAGGGCCTCCCACCTCTCGGAGCATCCTAAGTGCAGACTAAGGGCAAAGGGGATGGAAGTGGGCAATGCCAGGACCCCATTCTTCATGCCAGTCATGAGAACGAGCAATAAACCAAAGCACAGCTGATGGCAGTTGGGATACGAACAGGGGAAATGGCAGTAAAGATGTCGCAACACACCCATGCCGACTCCCTCTCTCTATAAAAGTCAAAGTGTGTCTGTTGGTTGGTTGGTTTGTTGCTCAAAGACACCTGTGTGACTTGATGGATCTGGACTAAATTTGGCATACATATCCTTCATTAACCAACTTAAAATAATTACAAAGTTTTAACAACAAAAAGTTTTTCAGAAAGCATATAGATAGAAAGGAGTCGCTCCTGGCCTGTAGGTATGTGTGTGCACAGTGTTCAGAAGCAACCACAAGAGGGCAGTATTGAGATAGGAAGGATTAGCTTCTGGCCATTAGGTATGTATGGATGCAATGCTCAAATGCAATCACAAGAGGGAAGTATATAGATAGAAAGGATTAGCTTCTGGGCTTTAGATATGGGTGGGTGGAATGCTCAAAAGCCATCATAAGAGGGCACTGTATAGATAGAAAGGATTAGCTCCTGGCCTCCAGGTATGTGTGTACACAGTGTTCAGAAGCAACCACAAGAGGAAAGTATTGAAATAGAAAGGATTAGCTTCTGGGCTTTAGGTAAGGGTGGATGCAATACTCAGATGCAGCAGAAGAGGGTGATGTATTTATAGTAAGGATTTGTTCCCTACTTCTAGAGATGAATGTATGAACTGTCCAGATGTATCCACAAGAGGACAGTGTGTATATAGAAAGGATTAGCTAATGGCCTCTACATATATAGAAAGGATTAGCTAATGGCCTGAGGTGCAATAGATGAGGGCAGTGTATATATAGTAAGGATTAGCTGTGGGCTTCTAGGGACAAGTCTATGAAGTGCCCAGATGCATTCACAAGAGAGCAATGTATAGATAGAAAGGATTAGCTCCTGGCCTCTAGGGATGAATGTACAAAGTGTCCAGATGCATCCACAAGAAGGTGTATGTAGAAAGGATAACCTACTAGCCTCTAGGCATGTATGAATGTAATGCTCAGATAAAATAGAAGAGGGCAGTAAGGATTTGCTCCTAGCCTCAAGGGATGAATGTATGAAATGCCCAGATGCACACAAGAGGGCAGTATAGAGATAGAAAGGATTAGCTCCTGGCCTCCAGATATGTATGGATGCAAAGCTTAGATGCAACACAAAAGAGCAGTGTATAGATAGAAAGGATTAGCTACACCACACCCCTGAAGGCCGCAAGCAGGACATCCATTCTGTAAGGTGGTAAACAATTTAAGGGAGATTCCTATTTGGGAAGAGGTTTGTATGCCTTCAAAGGAAAGGGAGAAAGGTATGAGATAAGGGAAGGAAAGAAAGACAAAAAAGGGGAAAGAAAAGAAGAAGAAGAAAGTGAGAGAAAGGAAGGAAAATACAGAAATAAAGAAAGAAGAGGGGGAAGTATATAAGCCAGTGGTTCTCAACCTGGGGGTCGCGACCCCCAAGGGGGTCGCTGGGCCATTTTCCGGGGGTCGCGAAGGCGCCTCGGTTGCCCCCCCCCAAAATGGCTGCCGGCTCCTGTGTGAGCCAAACAGCCGCGGCCATGGAGGGGGCCTTCGCCGCTCGCCTCCTGTGCCCTCCGGCCTCTGAAGGGGCGAGGGGCTCCCAGCCGTCTTTCCCCTGCCCAGGCAGCAAAGAAGGCTCTTCAGAAACTGAAGGCAGGACAAATCTAATCTTTTGTTAATACCTCCCCCAAACCCCTCCAATATTTTCTGTGGGTCATGGAAGTCCTATATGCCAAGTTTTGTTCAATTCTATTGTTGGTGGAGTTCTCAATGCTCTTTGGTGCCTGGTGAACTATAATTCACACAATTGCAATTCCCAAATGTCAGGGTCTATTTTTCCTAAACCCCTCCAGTATTTTCTGTGGGTCATGGAAGTCCTGCATGTCAAGTTTGGTTCATTCAGCATGCCAAGTTTGGTGGCATTCAGAATGCTCTTTGGTGCCTGGTGTACTATAAATCCACCCAAATGCAATTCCCAAATGTCAGGGTCTATTTTTCCCAACCCCTCCAGTATTTTCCGTGGGTCATGAAAGTCCTGTATGCCAAGTTTGGTTCAATTCTATTGTTGGTGGAGTTCAGAATGCTCTTTGGTGCCTGGTGAACTATAATTCACACAAGTGCAATTCCCAAAAAGTCAGAGCTGAATCGGTTGGCGGTAATTCCAATCCCTTCATCCATTGTCCATACTCCCCCAAACATACTGTTTTTATCATTAATCACTATGCTTTAATTATGTTCAATTTGTAACAATGGAAATACATCCTGCATATCAGATGTTTACATTACAATTCATAACAGTACAGTTATGACGTAGCAACAAAAATATGGTTGGGGGTCACCACAACATGAGCAACTATATTTAGGGGTCACGGCATTAGAAAGGTTGAGAACCACTGATATAAGGGAAACGAAGAGAAGAAGAAGAGAAACGAGAGATAGAAAAAGTATACAGTATGAGTGAAAAGTATGAGTGAAAAGGGAGAAGAAAATGGTAGGCCTGGTTGATCAAGAAAAAATTTGGTTCTAAAATCGATTTGTAATTGGGGTGTTTTTTTGTTNGGACCACCATGGCTAAGTCTAGCTATGTAATGGAGATGATTCCCCTTTTTCACACTTGTGTTGGGAGAGAGATTGGGGGAATACCATTGCATAGCTAGACTGTTGGGAAAACAGACTCTCTGTCTTCCAACTTAGTACTGAGTCTTTTTCACTGATAAACGAATCCATTATGTGATGTGTCTCAAAATTAAAAATAAACCTATATAAGAGCAGGGTTAAAATGTTGAGGCAAGTGTTCCTGTATTTGGCAGAAGATAGTCCAGGGCAACAAAATTTGGTTCTGATGTCCTGGACACAAGGTACTCCTTTCTAGCTAGAGTATCCAATTAAAATCAAATCTGAATTATCTTTCATTTCCAGATAGGTTGCTTTTAAATTTTTGACTACACAAAAACCCCTTGCCTTTCCTCAGGGAATAGCATCCTAGAAGCCAATGGCATGGGATCACTGCAAATCCCGGATTCATCCGTCTTCCTGAAATCTGAAAGATACGCTTAGCAAAGGATGGGCAATTTATGGTTTTCAAGCCACCTTCTTGCCAGTCAAGCTGCCCCAGTCCAGTACTAGAGGGCAAAATCCAATGGAAGAAATCCATATTAATGCTCAATTGGTAAGAGGAGCATCTCCCTTCAGCAGAATTCCACCCAAGAGAAACTTCTGTAAGCGGAAGATGATATTAGGTGCTCTATTATCCCCCCCTCCATTTTCCCTTCAGGGGGATGGATGTAAAACAAGGTGGGGAAGAATCCGTGAAAATTGCCCCCACCAGGGTGTTGTGTGGTTTCCAGGCCTTTCCGGGCCATATTCTAGCAATGAAAGTCTTTGACAATACATTGCCCCCACTCTTCCAATGAAAGTCTAGATAGCAATTCTCCAAGATACCACCCTGTACAAACAGATCAGGGGATTTTCTACATGGGCAACAACAACAAGAGAGAGTAACCAAGAATGGTAGCTAGGCTGCCTTTAAGATGCAAGCTATATCTTTGGAGTATCCTGGGTTATTTTGCTTTAAAATGACTTTGTCATTTGGGGGAGAATCTGTAGTTTGGTGAAAACTCCCAGTGGTCCCCTGAATTCTGGGGAATCTGGACAGCAGAGCCAGGTCTAATTCTGATCAATCCAGACTGGACACCAACAAATCATTTCCCCTTGCACTCATCAACTGGATTGGAAAAGGACTGGATTGTAGCTGGTACCACTCCTCATGATCAGCCAAAGAGAGCTGTGCAAGATCTGGGTCATTGGAGGCACCACTCTTGATATCAGAATGGGGTGCACACATGACCACCACGAAGGAAGGGGGCAGAACTTCCCTCCTCCTTACTGGTTGCATTGGTGGCTCTGCCAATCTCAGAATAAGGCACTCACATAACCAAGAAGGGCATGCTGGTTACACAGCAAACCCCTCTGATGTCAGCAGAGATGCTCATACAACATCTTGGAGCACCATGGTAGGCTAGGAGTGGCAGCAAGAGAGAGGAGGTGAGTTGTGGACCACTGTACTGGAGTAGAAGAACAGTGGAACTGAATTTGGTATGATGATGGATCTGGGGCTGTTGTGGGACATATTTACACCAGGTTAAGCTGCCCAGTATAGTTATAAGAGGAGTGAAATTGCACGTGTGAAAGGAGAGTCTACTGAACTAAGTGTTGATAGCTCAATACCTGAGTAAATACAGTAAAATTAACTACAGTGGTTGCATAATCAATAAATGCAGTTGCTACATGCGATAATGTTGGGCCGCGAAAACAACCACTCCCTGGAGCACCTGCCTTGGACACATTTGTCTGTCATTAATGACTCAGACATCTTTTCTTGGGGCCATGCAGATCTTCCATCAATGAACAAAGACAGTTCTGGGTCTCTTAAGGCATTCCCCCTTTATTGCCTTATTCTATATTTGCTGTTATCACATTCAGGAAGAGAGATATGAATAAAACTAGGGAGAGACAGACCTCAAAGTTATTGGTAGTTCACAAATTCAATAACTACCACAGTACAATGCAAAAAAACGCAGTCAGAGTTTTCATAACCATTATTATTTAGAAGACACAATGCTTAAAATGACTTACAATAAAACCTTTCAAATGTGCCTGGCATTCTGATTATTCCCTAATACATTGAACATGCTATATAAGCATGAGGAATTTGATTGAAAGAGGATGAGACCCAGCTACTTTTTCATATAGGAGCCTACATTTTAATAGAAGTTATAAAACATATTAAGCAGTGGGTCACAGACACTTGAATTGTTCTGTTACCTTGGTGGTCAGAATGAGGCCACTGCAGTTCATAGTAGTAACCAAAATCAGAAATCAAACCCTTAGCACTACGTTAACAGGGTACAATATTCACCATATAGCACACTGTTGCCCACCGAACCCTGTATATGTAAACAAACTCCTACAGTTTTAGAAAAGACAGATAAGAAATGATGCTTATGCACTTTGCAAATCAGGATTGCACATGCTCAGATAAGCAGGTGCCAGCACAAACATTCACATTGTCCGCTTCTCCAGTTGTTCTAGCACGAATGCTGAACTTTTCTTGGACTCCTCCAGGAAGTGAGAGACTTTCTCCTGCACCTGCACAAAAAAGTTTAATAATACACTTTAGTCCTAAACCTGATATAGGAGGGTAGCCCAAAGGAAAAGCTTCTTACTTCTCTTTCCTTTTCTGTGGAATTTGGAATAAAACCAAAATTGTGCTTTGCTGCTCATTAAATGCTGCTCTCCTCGCATCCTGTCCACCCGACCTTGGGCTGAACTTCAAGGTACAATCAGCTTGTGTAGGCCGAGAGATAGATAAGATTTGTTTTTGTTTTTATTTGTTTGATTAATTGATTCACCAAAGATGGGGAGGTGCATAAGTTATGTGTGTGCTCACCCCCTTTGCTGGTAATGAAATCAGATTACAGCATGTATATAATAAATATATAATATTTACTTCCAAACACAGGAGCAAATGTTTCTTGTTAAGGAAAAGGGCTGTATTCTGACAGCCACAAATTTTGCCTTTGTTTCCAAGAAGAACAATACTTTTGAGAAGTAATGGAGCTTTTAAAGTGAGTGAGAACACCTGTATCTTCTGGCTATGAGCCAACAATACCTATGTGTTTGAGTCACCGAGTTGAGGTCTCCCATTGTCCGGGACTTGCTGTTATCTCACCTTGCCACACCTAAAACAAAGGAAGGTGTGGCAACTAAGAGTGAACACCTAGGATAGCTTCTCAATCTAGTAATGCAGGAAGGGGGCAGAAAATGAGCAGCTTAATTTCAGACTAGAAATCTCCAAAGTGGGAATAAAAGGTCCTCATTTTTAGATTTTCGGCGAGTATACCTTACCTCTTGAACTGCAGTGATACCTTGACTAAAGAGTTTAGTTTGTTCCGTGGCCAGCTCTTAAATCAAAAACACTTTTATCTCAAAGTAAATTTTCCCACTGAAATGCTATTAATCTGTTCTGGTACCTCAAATCCCCCTCCCCATTTTGGTTACGTGTTTTTGAATAAGAAAGTGTACGTTATAAATAACACATAATGTCTAAATGTGCATTCACATGGAACAATCAACTTCAAAATGGTAAGAACACAAAGTTGCGGCAAGGAAGCACAAAGTGAAGAGGCAGAAGCATCCTTTTTTTCATACTGAACTCATTCCAGCCTCCCTCCCTCTCCTGCTCTCTCTCTTCATTAAGCCAAACATACCAGGAATAAAAAAACACATCAGCTTATATCCCATGTTCACCAAACCCAAATCCATGCTGTGTTTTTTTATTTCATTTCTTTTTTGCCATCACTGTGGAGTCTTGAAGTTTCGGTATTCTCAAGAAAAGTGCTGTTGGCGTGTTGTGTTTTAGCACATCTTACCTGCTTCTTAAAGCCTTCATCTGTTATATCTTTCAGGTTGGTAACAACGTTGAAATAGGCCCCAAACACACTAGCTTCTAAAGCTTTAGCCGCCACCTACACACAAAGAATAAGAAAAGGGTATATGTCCCCATGAGTTAAAGCCCCTTCTATTTCAAACAACTATTGATGATCGCAACCAGGAAAAACTAATAAGAAAACACCAGTTCTCTATAACTGCATTTTGGAGTTAAGTCAAAAATTATTTATGTTTTATTATGTTCTATTCCATTCAACTCCAGTTAGTTTTATAACTGGTTTGAAGCCAGTTATTTGGCCCTTCCTTTTTGTTCTATATATATAGCAGGAGTCTGCTCTTTAGAAGCAGCACACTAAAACCAAACAAGAATCTTACCACCACCCTAGAATTCCAGTCATCTGCCATTTTCAGCTGCTAAAAAAGCCAATGGGATTTTGGGCTTCATCAAAAGGAATAACCCTAATCCTAACCCTTATACTCGAGTATAAGCCTAGTTTTTCAGCCCTTTTTTAAGGCTAAAAAAGCCCCCCTTGGCTTATACTCAAGTCAAGGTTATTTATTATTTTATCTATTTATTATTGTTACATTTATAATTTAACTTTATTATTTTTGTTATTATTATATATTATTTTATTATTATATATATTATTATAGTGGTTTGATTGTGTTTTTTCCTGCATGGCAGGAGGGTTAGACTGGATGGCCCATGAGGTCTCTGCCAACTCTGTGATTCTAAGGCAGTTGTCAATGCTATATACTAGTTATGTTATTTAATATTAGAACAAACCTAAGAATTAGATTTGTCTAGGATATAGCTTTCCAAATATTTGATGCTGATGACACACTTTTTAGGCATGCATCACTTTGTGATACAGTAATTCAATTTTACTGGAAAACCAGAGGTTAAAGCAATGTCTTAAAAGTGATATGGACATATATATAAATTGTAATAACAAAATGTATGGGGATACAATATATAAACATTTTTCATTAATATTTTTAAAAATATACGATTTGTAAGATAATAACATACCATATATTTCCAAGATTTCTGAAATTTCTTGTTATGTCTGTGTGACACATCTACACACTGCAGCGACATACTGAAGTGTCATGACACAGAGTTTGGAAAGCTCTGGCGTAGGAGGTGCATACAAAATCATCCACTAACCTATGTGACTAAACAGGGATTTGTAGCCCATTTCTTCTACGCAAATATCCACTCTATGCAGTGTATGACATGCAACCTCCCCACCGCCCACACATAGATATCCCCTCCACACACACACACACACACACACACACAGAGAGAGAGTTCAATCTAGCTGTCCTTGCTGCTACAAGCCCTTCTTTTCAGACTGGTTCTTTTCATAACCTGTGCATCCATAAAATCTTTAGTTTACCTGAATATCTGATTGGCAGGCTAAATTTCCATACTGAGCTATTTCTCTTAAGAATGGCCATAAGGAATGAACTTTTTCTGCCAATAAGAAGGGGACACCAACTGCATTTTTCAGTCCCAACTGCATGGCTGCTGTACGTCTAAAGACAAGGAATAAAAAAGGGGAAAATATTACTGGATAACATACATAAGGGCAACAAGAGGGGTCTGTACATCAGTATATTGTAACAAAAGCAAAGAGTCTTGGAGGCCCTTAATATTGTTGTAGCTCTATGTAGCTCAACCAAGTTGACTTTCACCAATGGTGACACTTCTCCTAGTGTTATTTTTGCAAGATTTCTTCAGAGGAGGCCTGCTATTTTCTTCCTATAATAGGGCTAAAACAGTATGATTTGCCCAAGGTTACTCAGTGGGTTTCCATTGCTAAGCATGGATTTGACCTAAAGTCCTAGGTCAGGGGTCCACAAGCTTTTTAAACAGAGGGCCAGGTCACAGTCCCTCAAACTGTTGGAGGGCCGGATTATCATTTGAAAAAAAACATGAATTAATTCCTGTGCACACTGCACATTATCTTATTTGTTGTGCAAAAATCACTTAAAAACAATACAATAATTAAAATGAAGAACAATTTTAACAAATATAAACTTATTAGTATTTTAATGGGAAGTGTAGGCCTGCTTTTGGCTGATGTGATAGGATTGTTGTTGTTGTTGTTGCTGCGTGCTTTCAAATCGTTTCAGACTTAGGTTGACCCTGAATGAGGGCCGGGTAAATGACCTTGGAGGGCTATATCCAGCCCCCAGGCCTTGCTTTGAGGACCCCTGTCCTAGGTCAACACTTAAACTCCTAAACCCTGCTGGCTCTCAAAGACTAATAAATTCATGGTGGCAACCCACAGCAAAAATCCCTCTAGCAAAATTGCTATCTGCATTGAGGTTCCTTTCCCAACAAAATAAAGGTATTTCTTACTCCTTTCCTAATCAAACTTATGCGAGAGACAATAAATTAGTTTATAGAGTTTCCCAATAACATCATCAAAGGACAGCAGGAGCCACAGTGGTACAATAGGCTAAACCTGCTCAAATCTGCTCCAACTTCCCATGCGGGACATGAGACAAGCCTCCCACATGAGACAAGCCTTCCTGCAGACAGCCAATTCTCTCACACCAGAAGTGACTTGCAGTTTCTCAAGTCACTTTTGACATGGAAAAAAATAATCAAAGAGCAACTCTCAAAATTCTTTGAAGGTGTCAGAAGCATAGATCCTGACAAGCTTTTTAACCATGCTTTGTTCTTCCTTTGTATTCTGGATGCTAGGGTATGCCGCACTCTCTCGCCAAACCAGAAATATTGTATGCTGCTATGCATCTGACTTATGACCAGATGCATAGGGAGAAAAAACTAACAGCTGGAAGCTGTAGTGGCCATTTTGTTGAGAGACAAGGTAAAAAGGGGGAGGAGGAATAACTCTTGGGAAACGAATTATTTTATTTTTTAAATAAATGAATATAGTTCACATCATTAGACCTCTTGTCTTTAAGTATATGGCACATCTTCAAAACTTTCAGTCGTTATAACATTTATGTACTGTAGTCAACTCTATTTTCTCAATAAAATGCCTATCCTTTTGAGTAGTGGTTCTCAACCTGTGGGTTCCAGATGTTTTGGCCTTCAACCCCCAGAAATCCTAACAGCTGGTAAACTGGGTGGGATTTCTGGGAGTTGTAGGCCAAAACACCTGGGGACCTACACGTTGAGAACCACTGCTTTTGAGGGTTTTTGTTATCTGAACAGGTGTTCACATGTACATTACAGAATGAAACCATGATGGTCAAAATGATATAAATCCCCCCTCCTGGGGGCTTCTTTACAGTGAGTGAATCAGTATCAGCCCCAACCAAGTTGCTAGCTCAGTTTGTCAAATGAAGAGAACAGTGGTGCATTGCTGCTGTTGTTGGAGTCCTTCCAAGACTCATGAGTAGACCACGTCTCATGGGCATTCTGGACCAGCAAGACTTGGACAATAATCTAGTGAGACATTTCATCTCACAAGATGACGTATATAGGACCTGTGGCCCGGCCATCCATCTTTTTTCACCAGGCAAATGGCAACCTTCATCCTTTCTCTGTGATCAGGCATCCCTGGGCAAGGGCTGGTCACCTTCAGGGCAGAGAAGGAAATTTTGCATGTTATTGTGATGTGTTTTTTGCCTCTCTCAGTAATATCCTGGGTGAAGGTGATGGCATATTTTTGTGGTTTTCTAATTGGATCTGTGTCGCTGCAACTACAATAGTTAAATAGTCCAATAATCATCACCCATCACAACCAGCAGTTGTAAGACAAAATAGGGAAGACCAGTGGATGATGTTTGCTTTATATATTGCTTAATATTGTTGTTTTTATTTTGTTATATTGTTTTTTGTTATTATTTTGTTGCTGTGCATTTTAATGTGCTATGTTCTGTTGGGTTTGGCCCCATGTAAGCCGCCCCGAGTCCCTTCAGGTGGATGGAGGTGGGGAATATAAATGAAGTTATTATTATATTATTATAGGGCCTAGAATGAGGGAAGGATGGCTGCTGAGGAACACTTACCAGTTTTGACACAACTGGGGCCGGAGTCTCAATTTGTCTGGCTAATGCCAGAAACCAGGGGATAATGAATTTAAAAGGGGTCAGCAATCTGCACAGGTCACTCCCTCCACTACTGATTTTTATATATGAATGCTGGAAATAAATGCTGTGGTTTCTCAGACTCAAAGCATAGTTATCCAGCTCTCATTCTTGATGCAAACAGCATTGTTTGCTGTGTAGATAGGACCTTTACAAAATAATGTCAAAAATATATTGATATGTACCTTTCTTTCTCCTCAGGTGTTGTCTTAGGAAGCTTCATAGCAGCCTATGAAAATGAAGAAAAATATGCAATTCAGTAGTCATCAGGACTGTGAGATCCCCAGTCCAAAAATCTTTCCCTCTGCCTGTTTCTTAAATCTAAACACAGCCACCTCTGTGAATTTGGGTGCAAACTATGCCTCTGGATCCCAGACTTTACTTAGTTAAGCAAAACTATGAATGACCTTTGGCTCAATAATACCATGGCATCACACTGGGGGACCCAGAAAATGCCTAAAGAAAACATAGTTGGTCAGACAGTCCCACAGATATGGGAGGCCATACTTTATGTCAATCCCTTCCTATCCCTAGTACATATCTTGCACATTTTCAATCAATACATACTCTCCTAAAAATTATGTTAAATTCTGACATTAATTGCTACTACTTTTGCCTTTTTGTGCAAACCAGACAAAAAGGTGACAGGAAAGCTAAGAAAAGACATGAAGAGAAATGCAACATGTTTTTAAATCTTACTCACCATGTAGCCACTAAAAGCTGAAGCATCAGTGTCCACCATGACTACCAGCTCCTTCATGGCCTGGTGAAATGGAGGTATGAGCTTCCTCATAACTGGGTCCAGTGCTTCAAACTGGCGTTTCCCATATGTCATCAACCCCACCATGAGGCCCAGTGCTGCCCCCTAGAAGAAGACACACTATACATTAAAACTCCTTCAATATTATTTAGCCACTATTTATGCATCCTTACAGATGTAATAAAGCTACCCAATTATGTTCCTGAAGAATAAATCCGGAGAGAGGATCCTTTCCTGGGAATCTGAAGTACACAGATCTTCTTCTCTGAACTCAACCCAGGGGCCAAGAACGTGAGTGGTTTGTTTGGGGTTGTATGGAAGGGTGAAAAGAAATGGCCATTTCCTAAGACTCTCTTGTAGGTACATTTCTGAGATCAAATAGCTGTCAACTAAGGCAGAGAGCCCATTTTCTGATGGAAAATGAAGCTCAACCAGCACAGTACTACTAAGCCAATGCTTCTGCCAGCTTAGGCTGAAAGCTTGGAGGACAATACTGTTCTTTTTCCCCAGCTGTGGAGTTACATATGAATGCTATCCACATGCCATCCTAGCCACTAAATGTGCTGTAAAACTTTGTGTAAGGAAATCATTGCATGAAGAGGTATGCCTTCTGCAAGACCCCCAAAATGATATACATTGCTATATACTGGTTCACATGGTATACACTGGTGTATATCAGGTAACACCAACATATGTCACTATCAGCCTTTAGGTGTAAAATTAAATAGGTGCAAATTATCCTCTATTGATCTGTGGACTTTAGGATTCATGTGTAAAGACTGGAAAACCATTTTGGAAAAACAACAATCACTTAGGTGGCACGGAGCTAGATCTAGAACCCAAAGGAAGATTTGTGGGGCAATGTGTTTAGGAGGGATTCTCCAAGACCAAAAGACCCAAGTGACTATGTACCAAAGAAGCCATGGCTGCTGAGACTGATCCTCCTCCAGGAGCAGCTGATCTTGCTCCAACTTTCTCTACAAAGGTGTAGAGAGGTAAAGACATCAGGCTGCCGCTTTCTCTGTTGTCCTCCACCATGTACCTTCAGAAGAAAAAGGGGATACAGAGAGACCACTTCTGGATGCATGCACACTAGAATATGTAACAACACCCAATTTAACATGTGATTGAATCCCTCTCATCTGTTTGTAAATCAAACAATGACATCGTCATGGAGGGAGGAGCCGAGATTGGCAGTATAAAATCCTTTTTTCCGTCATAATCTTTAGAACTGAGGAGGTAATTTATATATATATTTAACAATGGCGAATGCCCCTTCAGGTGGTGTGGCTCCCACTGAAATAGGTTTTTTAAAAGGGTACCTTAACTCAGCTTCATTGGAAGGGTGTTGAGGGCAAACAACCCAGAAAAAGTGGTTCCTTAAGACTGATGCCTTAACTCTGTTCTAGTTGAAGGGTATGAAAGCAAACAAGCCCAGAAAATAAATAAATAAATAAAATAAAACCATTTTTAAAAGACAAAATAAGACATACTCAATTATGCGCTCCTTGGGATTGAATGGAGACAAAGAGTCTAATCCCAATCGGTTGATTACCTGAGGACAAAAATATTTATTTATTTATTTGCCATAGTTATACCCCACACCTTCTCTATCTCATAAAGGGGGACTCAAGGCGGCTTACAGTGGGACATACATCATGCCTCAACCACAATTACCTAAAAATTGCAACATATTAAATTGAGTTAAAACAGATTTGAAGTTAAAAACACACTATCCAAAGTTCATGATCTGAGTCCATTCCGAGGTCAAATTGCACAGAGTTTCAATTCAGAATACTGCATTGCCCTAGTTTCCAAAAGCCTGATCGTGAACAGGGCCTCTCCAGATGAACGGAGGGAACGTGTGGGTTCATATACGGAGATGCGGTCACACAGGTAGGCAGTCCTGAGCCGCTCCTGACAGTGTGGGCTCAGAGTGAATATTGAAGTCCCCCAGCACAATGAGCCATTGGGACTCCAATACCAGGTCCGAGACCATTCTGGCTAGCTCAGGTAGGGAGACTGTAGTGCAGCAGGGTGGTCGGTACACTAGCAGAATCCCTATTCTGTCCTGGTCTCCTACCCTCTACCCTCTAGATGGAGCACCTCGTCAGAGGGATGGAATCCTTATAGACCACTGTGACCCCTTCTCCCTGCCCCCCCCCCCAGATCTTGGTTGGTGCTGTACAGAGAAGCCTAGTGGGCAAAGCTGGGTAAGATTAACTCCACCAGCTTCACCCAACCAGGGTGCACACCAGGTCTGCATGCTCATCCAGAATTAAGTCCCAGATGATAGCTATCTTTCCATTGACAGACCTGGCGTTCAACAGCATCTGCCATACTCAGTTCTATCACTCACTTCTACCACATCTATACCCCACATAGCCTGGCTCCAACTAAGGGCGATCAGATGGGGGAAGCATGAGCGCATGGAGAGTGTGGCTCCCCCCCCCCCCCCCCCCCCCCCCCCCCGGATTCCAATGACAACACTGGAGCCCTCCCATGTTGCCCTGGAAGTGGCATGCACTGACTCCAACCTCCTTCACCCACAGAGCCATGGCAGCATTATATGATGGGAGCCAGCCAGCTCAAGGCTAAAATTGGGCTAAATTGGCACATGTCACCAATTTTTTCATTTTGTACAAAACACTGTACTTTGTACAATTAATGCAGAAAGAGATTTGAAACTATCCTATTTCCCAGACAATTTTTTCAGCCCACTCCTGCCTATCTTTATGTAGGATTCCCTTTTGGTAAATGTTGGAGCATTCTGTTTTGGTATTTTATACAATGTAATGGTTATGCCATAAATATCTTGGGGGTTTGAGCCTTGTTGTAGCACTATTCAGAACCCACACTTTTCTCTTTTTTTCCCAACTGAGGCCTGGTTAAGCTGTGGCTTTCTTTCCATTTCAACATCCTCTCCTATTACATTCTCCCCTTGATATCCACATTCCCAACTTTGCACATTATGTCCATTTCTCATTTTCTAATGTGGCATTTAAGCGGAGTGATATGAGGCCACACAAACACTCAAACTCTAAAAACAAAGTGAGGGAGACCTATTCAATCTGTAAGCAGAAAATATCCATATTATAGGCAGTCTCTGGGTTACAAACAAGATAGGTTCTGTAAGTTTGTTATTAAGTTGAATTTGTATGGAAGTTAGAACAAGTACATTTTTAATATGACTCCAGCCAAAAAAAAAAGTAAGCTTTGGATAGCATAGGGGAGGGTTAACACCCTTGTGCTGTTTATTTTGCTATCTGTACCCCTGTTCAGAAGATGTCACTGCACTTTCTGTCTCTGTAAGAATTTCATCTCACTTCCTAATGTCTAACCCCTATTTGTAACTAGGAGTTACATGTAAATTGGATGTTTGTAACTCAGAGACTGCCTTTATGTCTCAGACATTGGCCAAAATTCTACATATGCTACTTAGCTATGTAACTAGTAACTTAGCTGCAAAGCTAAGAAGTTTTTTCAGCCTGCACATCAGGCATATAGAAAGGTGAAGAGTCTGTTCTCCATGCAATTGAGATGTCGGTGCATGAAAGCTCATCTTTTTTCCCCCCAGCCAGCAAATCTGCTACCACAAAGTCTGATCATACTGGGTATCAGCCACACAGAGACAAGGAAGTCCATTCTACAGACAGTTGGGGCATAAGCAGATGAAATTTTTACCCCTCTCTCACCCGTCAGCAAAGGTGAAAACCTTTGCTGACTGGTGAGAGAGGGGTAAAAAATTCATCTGCTTATGCCCCAACTGCCTGTAGAATGGACTTCCTTGTCTCTGTGTGGCTGATACCCAGTATAATAGCTCTTAGGGGCAGTTACAGTTGTGGCAATTGTATCACAATCATGACATGTGCAGTGGATCCACATTCTAGTTATTTCAGTCTCCCAAAAAATGATTATCAATGAATGATGAAAAGTTACCAGTCTGATTTTATGATCCTCCTCTAGGATGAAAAGATTGTCTTTCTTAATATAAAATTCTGCTGCATCCAACATGGCCTTTTTGGGGATCAGACCCACTAGCTGAGATCCCACCACAGGCAGATTGAGATCCTAGAAGGAAAATGGGAACTTCATAACAATGAAGATATGGCAAAACATTCATTTGGAGTCCAGCAAGTCCTAATGGGGTCACTTCTACTCCAAGTAAATCCATATGAGCCACTTCAGGGATTTAAAAACCTATTACTAGGGGCAAATAACTTCCTGGAAGAAATGAGACATAATGGAATACTTATATTTGCATATACATACATAACGTGATATCTTGGGGATGGAACCCAAGGCTCAAAATGATATACTTCATTTATGTTTCATTTTCATAATTAATAGAATGTCCATCCTATACACATAGCCTGTATATATTTATTATTTCCCCCATCCTTCTCGACCTCCGAGGAGGGACTCAGAACAGCTTTCAAACAGGCAACAGTTCAGTGCCAAACATGTTATAACACATATAATAAATACATTCATATAAATTAAATTAGTTTAAAATATATATTAAAACTAGTTTCCAGATTAAAATGTTTCCGTATGAACCAAATGTTTGTGTACACTGAACCATCAAAATATAGCTCAATTACCTATGTGAATAATTTTGAATTTTGAAGGATTTGAGGATTCAGACTTCCAGATAAGAGATGTTCAACTTGTGTTGGTTTTATATACTCTTTTAACAAATATGATGTGTTATTTGTTGTTGTTCCCTGCTTTGATCCAAAGAGCTAAGAATTTTTTGATTAATTGATTATCACTTTCTACAACTCACCTTGGCATCATTGCAAACCTCTTCATATACCACATGAAGGGGAGTGGTTTCAAAATCCAACAGATTTGTAGAGACTTGGGCAATATTTTCTTCATCCAAGTACCATCCCATGCCTTGCACCTGCTTCAACCGACCAGGCTACAAAGGACAACGAGACATAACTGTTTCAACCAAGTACACATACAGCTATGAATGCCAACAAATACAGGGTGAGGCAGCATAACTTCCTTTTTTAAAATGCGCACCATTCAGTCAGTTGAAGACGTAGCGGAGCGCTAGTGGTCTCGTTCGAGAGGCGGGAGTATAACATTTTGTCCTGACACAGTTCAGTCGCCATCATGAGTTGGAACAGTGAGGAGCATGCTTTTGCCGTTGAGGCCTACTTTTCGAGCGGATTTGGAGTGGTCGGCCTGCTCTCCAGATTTGGCCCCTTGTGATTTTTTTCTATGGGGGTTTTTTGAAATCCCGTGTTTCTGTGAACTGTCCAAGGACCCTACAAGATTTGAAGACCAACATCCAGGAAGAAATTGCCAACATAACGACTGCTATGCTGGCAAAAGTCATGACAAATGCCAGAAATCCGTTTACTCAGTGTATGGAGAATGGGGGACGACACCTACCTTTGAGCTTCAAAACTACGTAAAACAAAACTTTAGGTATGCACCTACATTATAAAAAAAATTAAAAATTCTGATTCAAACAATGGGTTTTATTAAGTTTTGAAAAAAGAAAGTTATGCTGCCTCACCCTGTATAAGCCCAAGGCTGTGTCTTCAACCTAGCCACCAACAGCCCATTAAGCATGAGGAGATCCTACAAGGCTCCCAAAATAGTTTAATTACACTGAGCATCTTCAGCATCTGTTCAAAATATAATAATGTAAATTTAGTGCAATGTTTTGTATTGGCTTTGTATTGTTATACTGTGTGTTGAAGCCTTGGCCTTTGTAAGCCCCATCGAGTCCTTCGGGAGATGCTAGCAGGGTACAAATAAAGTTTAATAATAATAATAATAATAATAATAATAATAATAATGTTACTAATGAAGAATCCTGCCACTCCTTAAAATTTTAAAGTTTATCATGGCATATTCACTCATGGATTATTATCCTCATTATGATGATAAAAGAGTACCAAAGAACAAGCCTGAAGGACAATGGCACTTTGAAGTCAAAGGAATTGTAAAGTTCCTTCAGCCTGGGCATGGAATGGCCTGGCTTTGCAGGACACAAATCCTATATAATGAAATTTAAAGTGTCCCTCGGAATCATGAGGTTGCCATGTTCTGAAAAAGCACATACATAATATATTAGCAAGGATGTCCAATTTCTAGTTGAAGTCGATAGGAACTTTAGAGGGGTCTACCCCAGGAGGAGAGACCCTGTGGCCCCACCAAAGAGGGGTCACTACATTGGTAAGCAAAGAGAAGCTGGGAGGAGGCTTGGCCATCCCCCATGCGGCAGGGCCAATCACAGGGCTTCCGCAGTGCGCCAGAGCCAATCAGGAGGCTCCTGTCACCTCGACGCTCCAGCGAATCGGAAGGAAGGGAGGCGGGATGAAGGGATACAATGCATTCTTGAGTGGATTATGGAGTTTAATGTCCTGGAGGTTTAACGAGTCCGGAACTGGCCTGCCAGAAAAACCAAGGCTATTGTCTTAAGATGGGTCTGCGATAAGCATTGATTACTTAATCCGGATTTTTCTCTTGTGATCAGATAGGGCACAAAGGGTGAGGCTTTGGTGAATGTCTTTAGTGGAGAGATTTGAAAGAAAAATGGGTTGGGGGAAGAAGGACTTTTCGAAGGTCATCTTTCCCCCATTGTTATATGATTAAAAGTTTGCCAAGCAAAATCCTCTTGATAGCCCGACTCCGAAGTCAAGAAAGATAATTCTTTGTTATTTTCCATGCAAGCAATGTCCTAAGATAAGGGGCTTTCATGATCGCTGATTGCTTTTTTCAGAGGCAGGGCAACTTCCTTATGTAATTTCCTCAAGGAGAGGGGAAGGGGGCAAAAGGGTCTGGACAAGGCAGGGCAACTTCCTTATGTAATTTCCTCAAGGAGAGGGGAAGGGGGCAAAAGGGTCTGGACAAGGTCAGATACATGAGGGCGAAATATAGAAATACAGGAGAAAATATGAAAATATAAAAATCATAATACATAGAGTAAACCCAACTACCCTCCCCCAGCGTCCATAGTTCATATTATTCATAGGAAGATCCATAAAGGGAAATATATCCATGAGGGGGAAAGAGAGTCCCTTGTTTGTGAAATGGGGACCATCAGGAGCCCAGGTGTGTCTCAGATGGAAAAAGTCAAATACATAAAGCCTTGATTAAATGATACACACCAATTTGACCAAGGCTTAACCCTTATTATCCAGTCTGGTGTCCTTGCCCTTAGCAAAACTATAAGTTACTATCTCTTATGGGGGGGGGGGGGCGTCATGTTTGACTTCACAGTTGTTTAACAATATATATTCTCTGGAAATTGCACAGACAAAACAAAGAAAAACATGGGGCAGGAAGTAGCCAGGTTATTTATGAAAAGATTGGGAATTCAATTCAGTTCTGGTAGAGAAAACAAATTTCTGAGTTATAAAATTCCTTCATTTTAAATTGATAAACTGCAACTTCAAATGGCATTATGTGGCAGTGTAGATGGGGGTATAGTGAAACGAAACTCCAAAGTAGATCCTGCATGCCTAGGCCTCTGTTTTGAAGGTTTTAAAAGGAAGTGAGGCAGGAGAGAGGCACAAGTTATTTCTTCCCTATGTGCTGGAATACCTGGTCTTTGGCACGGCCCTGCTCTCGAATGTTCAAGGCAATCCGGTGTGCCAGCTCCTTTGTGCACAGCAAATTGATGTTATATGCTATGAGGAACATCCGTGCCCCTGTCACTGTTGCTCCCCATCTTGGAACAAAGCTTGCGGGGCCAAAATCAGGAGTCCATTCTGCTTTTTGGAGCTTGAGGATAACGGAGAAGAAAAAGAGAAGAATGGCTTAATTCTAGTGACATGAAGAATATTACACCTGTGTTAAAAGGACGCCAGAGTAAAATAGCTGGTTTTCAATAGCATTTAACACTGAAATAACCCAGAAAGTCAAACAATGATATGCAACATCTTTCAAGCTTTTTGGTTTTTCATTTTCCAGAAATATTATGGCAAGAGGGCGCAATTTTCCTTTCTCTGCACATTAGCAGATTTTCCTTCTCTTTGAAGTCCCCATGAAAGATATATTTTTAAACATGTGGGTCAGGAGGAAAGTTAATCCAGACCAGGCCCTCGTGCCTCTGTAACCAAATTAAGGTGAAATCGGCTCACTACAGAATTTGTCATTCCTTTAAGTAACGGGTACAACAACCAAACAGAGCACAAAGTGTTGGAAGTGTTCATTCAATTATCCTGGTCTTATACAACCTGGAGGCAAGTCCAGTAAAATATCCAAATTTCCCCTCCGCACATCCTCAAACTTTTCACCAATGAAAACAGGGACATGTCTGGCCAAGCAACATCATAGGGCAGCCATCTTGGTGAATGAAGAAGAACACACAAGCTAGAAGAGACTTCAGCAATTTGTATTTCCCAATTTTGCCCTCTTCTTTCCACTCCACTTTGCTGAGTTAATTGACCACACATTTGCAATTTGAACCCAGCTTGCAACAATGAAACAAAGGTGAAATTGGGAGGAGGAAAAAGAAATTTCTATATTTTATAAACAGCTTAAAAGTGGGAAGACATAGGATTCATTCAAACTGTCCCTGCCATATCTGGACAGTATGGTTTCGAATACACCTATACCACTTTGAGTTTCCTTGTGGAAAGAAAAAGCAGGGTATAAATAAACATAATAGTAATAATAACAATAATATCAAAGCTATAGCACATCTTCTCAAAGCTGCAAAACTACTATAATAACAATATTAAAGGTCTTACTTTCACAGTGAGGGCCTCATACTCTCCTACTCGGATGGCTGGTAAGGACCGCCGACTCTCCTTCCGAGCTGCTTTTCCATAGAGGTACACTGCAAAGAAAGGGCAGCTTACAGAAATGCACCATGAGACCTAGGCTTCTGGACTGCAACCTGAGTGAGTGAGTTTGTACTTTCAAGATGCCATGTATAAAGATCAAAATTATAATGATCCGTGGGGAAAAGTAGGAAAAGCTATTCGATAATAAAAGTCCCAATGCTGCTTCATTAAAATTATAATGACCACATAGCAGCCTACCAAATTATAACAATGACACCACTCCAGAATAGCTCATCAAAAATATAGAGGGAGAAATGGTTGTTGAAACCAACTGTATATTTAAAAGCTAGGAACTGGGAACCACTGGCACTGAGAGACTTAAAAGGATTTTTTAAAAGGTTTCCGCTGCCACCATATTACTAAAGAACAGGCTGAGGTACTATTGAGAGGTTGTTCAGTAACACACTCTGTGTTACTCTAGTTTTCTTAGAGACTGGTAAAAAGCTGACTTGAATAACCCTTTTACCGCAAAGGTTTTCACACTGAGGCTGGTATAAGTTAGTAAAAATAACAAGAACTTTTATTGAACAGACTTGGATATTTCAGGTACAAATGCTTGATGGTTTCAGTAAAAATCTGGCATACAAAGTTTGTGGTTATGTTTGAGAAGAGATCTTAAAAACTTCTGGGTTACAAGTCTTAAAGTTTCCACACAGAAAATTACTTCAGGAAATGAATCTCTGAAAGTAACTCCCACAAAAATCCCCCTTAGGAAACTAGCCAAAACCTGAACTAGCCTTCCTTAAGGAAAAGAACAGACCACTAACGGGGTGCTGATCCCCACAGTATTCTGGGTATATTTCTCTACAGCTACCCTGAATACTAAACAAAAGACTGACCCAAAGTCCTTCTTCAAAACCCCAAACTGCTCTCACTAACACCCTTTCCAAGCTCCAACTCGCAACTCCAAACTGGGAACTCAAGCCTCAGTTTAAAAGTCACTCTTTTCCTTCAGATCACTTAGGCTCCACCCCCATTGTTCTAACCAATCCTAGTGATCTAACTTTCCCTCCAAGACTAGAACATGCTCCCTTAAGGCAAACCTAACCTAAGATGGCGTCTCCCTGTCTCCCTTCTCCAAAATGGATGCCGGGGCTTCGCCAACCCCACTTCCTTAGGCCTAAGCTAGCTTGCCAAGGTAAGGGATTCATTACACCATGTCATAGGGTTTCCTTAAGTAAGAAATACTTAGACTTGGTGATGCCAATTCCTTCCTCTGGGATATAACTTAACAGTTTCTGGGAATTTTTGGCAGTCTCTCATCTAAGTACTAAACAGAAGTGACCCTGCCTAGCTTCCAAAATCAGACAGATCTGGTGCTTTTGGGGTGTTTAGGCAGTATGGGCAGCAACCTACAGAAAGTAGGTGATGAGGACTGGAAACCAGGTGGAACAAATTGGTCAGTGGCCATATTCTTTCCCTGCTGGAGTACTATTAGCTCAGGGCATTCATGAAAGAGCTCTGACAGCTCTTAATGCCTGTTGCTCCTGCAAATTCACTAGCCCTGTTCACACAACCTCGCAGAAGCAAGCTAGGGGACTGGTACTCAAACTAGGAGTGACAATGGCTGACAGGGAGCTCTGGCGGGGATGGTCCATGGGTCATGAAGGGTCGGAAGCAACTGAACGAATAAACAACAATATCGCTGTATAGGGTAACAATACCATTGTATAGGGTGGCTTTCAGATTCAAGGTCCTTCCTCTTTGGTGATGATCAACTTACCTGGCACACTCAATTCATCTGCTAAGCGTTTTCCAAAGAGATTGGCACAGTGAATGCATTCTTCCATAGTGACATTTTTCACTGGGACAAATGGGCAGACATCCAGGGCACCCATTCGGGGATGCTCACCTAGGGCGAGAAAACACAGCTTCTGAAATTGTCAGTAAAATCAAGAGAGAGAGAGAGAGAGGTCAAAGGGACAGTTGCAGAAAAGAAAAGCTAAAATGTAGAGAAAACTAAATTTCCACATGTGTTTCATAAATAATGTTTGAAGACCAAGCTAACATCCAAGGTCAATGACATCTCTGCAAATAATGACTAGTTAAACTGAATATATTTGTTTTAGTAGGTTTAAAAGCAGCATTTTTGACTGAGTGAGATAAGAGCAAGTACCACCCATGTTTGCAACAGGCTGGCCTTATAAGTATTTTGTAGACGGCAAAATAGTTTACACACTGGATGCTGTGGATAATCCTTTGAGAACCCATCCTGCTCTTTGTCCTCCAGGCCTAGGTTACAGTAACTAGTACTTGCTTCAAATCTGCTGTGGTGGAGAGTTCTCACAAAAGTTCCAAGACCCATAAGAGATTTTATCCCATGGGTGAATGGAAGTATTGTGAGAACACACACATTCTTTGTGAGAGTTCAGGAAAGAGTTATAGACTGCCATATGTGTAGTGGTCTCTTTTCAGCTGAAAACAAGGATAGCTGTCCTGTCCTGCTATTTTAAAAAATCTGGCAAGACTAGCAGACAAGACTGAGCGCGCTCTTGGCAATCTTGGCCAGTATGGAAATAAAGTATGTAAGTATACTTCCCATTCCTAAAATCATTTCCTAACAAAACTGCTTTCTATTATTTTATTTTATTTTGTGGACAAAGTTGCTCTGATCCATTCCAACCTGGATGCCATGTTAATGGCAGACTCTGAAGATGTAGCACAAGCACTTGATTGTCAGGTTTTAATGGATTCCTTTCAATTTGTGCAGTCCGAGGATGTGGACAAGATCCTTGGAGAGGCAAGGACAACCACATGCATCCTGGACCCCTGCCCATCCTGGCTGATAAAGGAAGCAAGAAGGGATTTGACGGAGTGCATGAAAGTAGTGGTTAATGCCTCCTTACAAGAAGGCAAGACCCATCACTGACCCCACACAATTGAACAGCCAGATTCCTTACTGGAGCAGATTCCCCTCTGTTGCATCAGCTCCACTGGCTGCCAGTCTGCTACCGAGCCCAATTCAAAGTGCTGGCCTTGGCCTATAAAGCCTTAAACGGTTCTGGTCCAACTTACCTGTCTAAACGCATCTCCCCTTATGACCCAACTAGCTGGGGAGCCCCTGCTCTCGGTCCCACCCCCTTTGCAAGCGTGATTGGTGGAGACCGGAGACAGGGCTTTCTCAGTGGTGGCCCCTCGACCATGGAACTCCCTCCCCAGTGACATGAGGCAGGCCCCATCTCTTCAGGTTTTTAGAAAAAAGCTAAAGACCTGGCTCTGTACACAGGTGTTTGAAGAATAAGATGCTACAGAATTCAACACAATCTGAATAAGTATCATGAACAAGGATTATGGATGAATGGAATTATGCAATGTATATAAAGAGAGTCTTCAACCTCAGCAAGATGGAGTGGATGAGGGATTGGAGGACATCCAACCCCAAATTGGGAAAGAAGTCGTCCAGGAATACCTGGCCGCTCTTAATGAGTTCAAGTCCCCAGGGCCAGATCAACTACACACCAGAGTATTGAAGGAACTAGCGGAAGTCATTTCGGAACCATTGGCAATCATCTTTGAGAGTTCTTGGAGAACGGGAGAAGTTCCAGCAGATTGGAGGAGGGCCAATGTGGTCCCAATCTTCAAGAAGGGAAAAAAGGATGACCCAAACAACTACCGTCCGGTCAGCCTCACGTCGATACCGGGCAAGATTCTGGAAAAGATTGTTAAGGAAGCGGTCTGCAAACACTTAGAAACAAACGCAGTCATCGCTAATAGTCAACATGGATTTATCAAAAACAAGTCATGCCAGACTAATCTGATCTCTTTCTTCGATAGAGCTACAAGCTGGGTAGATGCAGGGAATGCCGTGGATGTAGTGTACCTGGATTTCAGTAAGGCCTTCGACAAGGTCCCCCATGAACTTCTGGCAAGGAAACTAGTCCAATGTGGGCTAGGCAAAACTACGGTGAGGTGGATCTGTAATTGGTTAAGTGGACGAACACAGAGAGTGCTCACTAATGCTTCCTCTTCATCTTGGAAAGAAGTGACAAGTGGAGTGCCGCAGGGTTCCGTCCTGGGCCCGGTCCTATTCAACATCTTTATTAATGACTTAGATGAAGGGCTAGAAGGCATGATCATCAAGTTTGCAGACGACACCAAATTGGGAGGGATAGCCAATAGTCCAGAGGACAGGAGCAGAATTCAAAACGATCTTGACAGATTAGAGAGATGGGCCAAAACTAACAAAATGAAGTTCAACAGTGACAAATGTAAGATACTCCACTTTGGCAGAAAAAATGAAATGCAAAGATACAGACTGGGGGACAATGCCTGGCTCGAGAGCAGTACGTGTGAAAAAGATCTTGGAGTCCTCGTGGACAACAAGTTAAACATGAGCCAACAATGTGATGTGGCGGCAAAAAAAGCCAATGGGATTTTGGCCTGCATCAATAGAAGCATAGTGTCTAGATCTAAGGAAATAATGCTACCCCTCTATTCTGCTTTGGTTAGACCACATCTGGAATATTGTGTCCAATTCTGGGCACCACAATTCAAGAGAGATATTGACAAGCTGGAATGTGTCAGAGGAGGGCGACTAAAATGATCAAGGGTCTGGAGAACAAGCCCTATGAGGAGCGGCTTAAGGAGCTGGGCATGTTTAGCCTGAAGAAGAGAAGGCTGAGAGGAGATATGATAGCCATGTATAAATATGTGAGGGGAAGCCACAGGGAGGAGGAGCAAGCTTGTTTTCTGCTTCCTTGGAGACTAGGACGCGGAACAATGGCTTCAAACTACAGGAAAGGAGATTCCATCTGAACATGGAAGAACTTCCTGACTGTGAGAGCCGTTCAGCAGTGGAACTCTCTGCCCCGGAGTGTGGTGGAGGCTCCTTCTTTGGAAGCTTTTAAGCAGAGGCTGGATGGCCATTTGTCAGGGGTGACTTGAATGCAATATTCCTGCTTCTTGGCAGGGGGTTGGACTGGATGGCCCATGAGGTCTCTTCCAACTCTTTGATTCTATGATTCTATGATATGGTTTAATCTGTTTAGTCTGTTGTTATATGGTTTCATTTGATCAAGTGTTTTAATTGTTTAGTTGATGGGATATGTTTTATCATCATATTTTAGGTGGCATTGAATTTTGCCGGAGTTGTAAGCTGCCTTGAGTCTCTTGCGGGGAGAGAAATGAAGTAAATAAATAAATGTGTGTGTGTCCTGGACCTTTATTCCTCTACATATATTTTAGAGCCTTGTCCTAAATACCCATTTAAAGATTAAAAACAAGATCAAATGAATGCACATTCACCCTTGTTAATATTAAAATATAGCAAGAGTATGTTGTGTTATATGGGATTCAAAAGCTCCCCCTGCTCACCCCACAAATTTAATATAATCATACATATATTGGTGGAATTTTCATATCAGAAGCTTGGTCTCAAATTCACTGGATACCCTACCTTCAAGATTTCATGTCTGTATAAGAATTTTGACCTTCAAGTTTTATTGTGATGATCACCAGGTTAAAGACCAATCTCTGACAGCAAAAAGTAACAAGTCTTACTAAAACATCACCTGCTAGCTGCAAGCTAAATTTTCGTAATAATTTGTAAAATATGCAATTTAGACATCAGAAGCCAGTTGACCGATTTTGAACTGGTGCATCAGCACACATTTACACATTCCACCAGACCTGTGTTCCCATCCCTTATCATAGTGGCTGCCAGAATTGCCATGCATCGTGGCAAATATGGCAATGTCCAGTGGGGGGCATGAGGAACCCATTGCCCCACACCCAGTATTGCTGACTTCCCTCCTACCTCATTCCACAAGGGGAAGCATCCCGTATGCGGCTTCCCCCCATTGATTTCTATGTAACACTCCCAGCATTGTCTGGGAATGGGCTACAGCTGATGAAAACTGACATCTGAAACATTTGGAGGGTCACACATCCTCTAGCCATGTTGACAACATTAAGTTTATATGTGGCCAAGAGTCTCAAAATTACAGAAGAATGGAACACATACCAACATCTTCTCATTTCACTTGTCAGACTAGTGAACTGGGAGTTATATTACCCTTACCACAGCCTGATGACATTTGCTAGACTGGAGAGCCAACCAGTGCTCATGGTTGAGTCTGTGCAATGATTTGCAACAAGGCTGCATATATATATAACGAAGCCACTCACCAAGGAGCTTCTTTTACCAGGTAGAAGGAACAAGCTAGCAGCAGTTATAAGGAACTTCACACTAAGGATCACAGGAGGAAATTGATAAAACAGGGAAAGATATAACTGTGTATAGATATATTTGAATGACGTCTAAACTGAGAGGTTTTTAAAAGGCTTCCTCAATTGAGTACGCTGCCACCTTATGATTTAGGCTGAATTATATGTGTGGAGAGGATACTTAGTAACACCCTTCTGTGTTATGATAGTGTTTATTTTCTTCAGAGGGTTTAAATACCAATGACGTTCACACACAGGCTGTTGTAAAGTGTTAACTATAATAAAATGTTTATTCGACAGGCTTAAACTCTTCTGGTACAACTGTGTAATGGTTTCTGTAAGTTAATGGCACAAAAGCTTTTGGTTACGTTTGATGTACAATTCTTAGACGGGTACTGGGTTCAAATCTAGAGTTAACAAACAGGAGATTATCTCAGGAAACTAATCTCTGATGATAATTCCAAACCAAATTCCCATTTCTGGAATCTAGCCAAACCATCTTGGCCTAGCCTTCCTCAGGAATAAAAGAAACAGACCATAAGCAAGGTCCTGTTCCCACTGACTATCCCTGGCTAGTTCCTCTAGCCCTTGAATACTACAAAAGATTAACCCAGTTCTCCTATCTAGCACTATCCAACTGTGAACACCAACCGTCTACCTAACTCCCAACTGACAAATCCCAACTGCCAAAACTCAAGCCTCAAATTCAAAAATCTCAGGAATTTCCAAATATTGATTCTCTCTTAAAAGATTGTACCACATCAAGGGCCAAATGAACTGTTTAGAAAGTAGAAAGACTGTATAGTATTCCTATAATATGCCATAAAAGCCTTGTTTGGTTCTTCTGTTCTCTGATGGTTCCTTTCATCTTGTTGCAATTACCTGTATGTTTTGCCATGTCAATGAGTTCAAAAGCTCTCCTGGCTGCATTCAGCGCACCTTCAATGATGTCTTCAGGGCTTCCCACAAAGGTATAAACTGTTCGATTGGTGGAAGGACCTGCATCCACATCCAGGAGCACACAGCCCTCAGTCTGGGAGATGGCCCTGCCAATCTCATCTATCACCTGCTCAAAAGGACAGCTGTTAGATGGTCTGAAACAGATTGACCTCAGTGCTAAACAAATGCAAATCAATGACTTTAAACCGGAAAGCTGTAAACTGATTAAAAGGTCATGCTTACTATTCAGTCTTGGGTTGTTGTAGGTTTTTCCGGGCTATATGGCCATATTCTAGAGGCATTTTCTCCTGACGTTTCGCCTGCATCTATGGCAAGCATCCTCAGAGGTATGAGGTCTGTTGGAAGTAGGAAAATGGGTTTATATATCTGTGGAATGACCAGGGTGGGACAAAGGACACAGATATATAAACCCTTTTTCCTACTTCCAACAGACCACACTACCTCTGAGGATGCTTGCCATAGATGCAGGCGAAACATCAGGAGAAAATGCCTCTAGAACATGGCCATATAGCCCGGAAAAACCTACAACAAACCAGTGATTCCGGCCATGAAAGCCTTCGACAATACATTATTCAGTCTTGGTTCATTCTACATTGGTCCAAATGGGAGCAAACTTTTCCCTTTATTTAGAGGGAGCATGCAGTTACTAAGGAGCACAGCTTTACAGACATGAACGTATTGTTTGAATAACCGGGTTGCTGCCAAAGTTGGTGTTGTAGGCCTTTTTTCCAATTCAGGACTAGAGGGGGTGTACAGCAGATGAAGATATAGTCAAAAATTTACAGAATATAAAAGTTTGAAACTTTTATATTCTGTAACTTTCACCTGCCTGCAGAGAGCAAGGTGGGTGTCAGTTGAACCTCTCTAGGTGTCAAGAACTAGAGTCCTGCCCATGTTTATTCTTTGTTTGTACATGCTTGTAATATTTATACTGGATAATGGGTATTGTTGTACTTTAACCATGCTGATATTTGTTTGCATTGGAACAGGGGCTACTGGAGAAACTTTGTTCACAAGTGTTTATCTATGCATGGAAGATTTACTATGATGCCCCTATCCCAGCAGCTAATTGGGAGAGCTATTATCTACAACTGTTTGCCCCTTCATCACCTCCAAAGAATCATGTCACCCCTAGTATAGACAGTCCCGAAAAGCTGCCAGACTGGCCCCCAACAACTGTCCAGGAAATAAAGAGCATAATTAAAAGCCTAAATAACAACAAAGCTCCTGAAGAAGACTTCTTACCACCAGAACTATTTAAATCCAACCCTGACTGGTGGGCCCCCCTAATAGCAGGTCTATGTAATCATATAAATAACGCTGCTAATATACCTACAGGTTGGAAACTCGCAATAATTATCCCTATCTACAAAAAAGGTGCACAAAAGTGTCAGGAACCAGTTTCCGGAGCCTGGTCTTTGGCGCCGAAAACTAGAGTCCTGACGCTTCGCCCTGATAAGGACCGTGCAGCTGGTGACGTTGGGGGGAGGCAGTTGCCTAGTGGCGGGAAGATTTACGCGGGGTTTTGAGTTCGGCGGGAATCCACACTTCAAATAATTGGGTGTGTATATAAGCGGTTGCCAGCCGTGGCTGGACAATCTCAGCTTTTCCTATGTCTATGCATCTACCAGTAAAGTTCTTTGTTGATAACGGAAGGAGGTCTTGTGTCATCATTGAACCCGGCTGCTGTGAGCTGACACAAAAGATCCAAAAAATTATAGACCTTTGCATTTCGTTTTTTCAGCCTAAGTGGAGTATCTTGCATTTGTCCCTGTTGAACTTCATTTTGTTCGTTTGTCCCATCTCTCTAATCTCTCAAGATCGTTTTGAATCCTGCTCCTGTCCTCTGGAGTAATGGCTATCCCTCCCAATTTGGTGTCATCTGCAAACTTGATGATCCTGCCTTCTAACCCTTCGTCTAAGTCATTAACAAAGATGTTGTATCTCATTATATAGAAAATAATTCAGAACTTACCTCTTTGTTGTTGCCTTCGGAAAAATTGGGGACACACTCCACTAATTTTGACATGATTTAGTCTGGGATTCTCCCTTGCTTCTGGTTAGATTTGTGGGATTCTTTGATATTTCCCCCTCTGCCCTACTCATAGAGAACATTAAGCTGGAAAATGGAAGGAGGTCAGGTTTACGGCCAGCAACCTTTCTCAGTTACCAGGGTTTTTCATTAACTACCCCAAACTTTCTTCACCAGAATGGCCCTTTGGACTGTGTCTGTTTTCCTTGTTTTTAGAATGATAGAATCACAGAGTTGGAAGAGTGCACAAGGGCCATGTAATTCAACGTTGTGCAGGAACATATAATTAAAGCACTTCCAACAGATGGCCATCCAGCTTCTATTAAAAAACGTCCAGAGAAAAAGGCTCAACTACACTCTGAGGCTGTGTATATTCCATGATTGAACAGCTCTTTCCATAAGGAAGATCTTCGTAATGCTTAGGTAGAGGGCACCAGTGTAGTTAATATATTATCAATTATATGTAGAGCCTGTTGAGTGATGATGTTAGATGCCAAATGTTATGAAGGAAATCAAGTGTTTTTGGAGGAAACAACATGAATAATTTGGGTCTAGAACCTGGAAAGGCTAATTTTTTTCGTGTAAGGAGCGACTTGAGAAACTGCAAGTTGCTTCTGGTGTGAGAGAATTGGCAGTCTATAAGGACGTTGCCCAGGGGATGCCCGGATGATTGATGTTTTACCATCCTTGTAGGAGGCTTCTCTCATATCCCTGCATGGAGAGCTGGAACCGACAGAGGGAGCTCAACCCTCAGTTGGTCAGCAGTCCTGCCGGCACAAGGGTTTAGCCAATTGTGCCACCAGGGGCTCCAGAAAAGGCCAATGAAACTATAAGGATTATGCTTAGCACTGCTAAACACAGCTTTTTTTTCCAATGGCAAAGCATAACCACAAGTAATAAAAATAGGAGAGCTTCAGGATGAGGAAGCAGGACTTGTCATGTCATCATAAGACACACAACACCTGTCATATATTCAGTGAAATATAGCAGTTAGAAGGTCCATGCCCTCACACAAAAAAGAGAGAAGCAGATCAGATTGTCCCACAATAAAAGCTCCTTAGGAGATCAATTCTGTGAAAGAAAAGGAGCATGAACAGGCAATACAATGGTGCAGATACAACCAATATTAATTCCAACTATTGACTTACCAAACTGTAATCAGGAACAGCAGTGGGATTTGAGTTCAAGTTTGCATGAACTGCTGAAATATTATTATCTCAGTGGGATGAGAGAAAGATGGCCAGGAGGCCTCTCTCTTTCCTTTTTTTAAAAAAAAAGAATATGATACAGCATTCAATCTGACTTTTTGTAAAATTAGGACTATTTTATTACAATTAATTTTATTTCACTTATACTGACATTTCACCATTAAGTACCACCATCAAGCCAGGCAGCTTGTAGCAGCTAGCAACAATTCAAATATAAAAATACAGTTATCACTTTAGAAAACAGTAAATTTTCCAATAAACCAATCAGCTAGAAACAGTCCAACACAAAATCGTACACACTATTCCGTGCCCATTTTTAGCAGTTATCCTTTTATTACATATATGCTGTGTCTGTGTATCCCTTCTATTTGATATCTGAGAGCAATTGTTACAGAAGGGCACTACCAAGCAAAGAGGGCCTTGTTGTCTTCTTTAGAAAGTTCACACAAACAGTTCAGCAGTAGCAAGGTATCTCCAAGGAATTTTGGTGGAACAATGTCAATCACCACCTTCCTAAGGTCCGCAGGGCTGTTGTGTAGGGGATTGGAGCTCAGGTCGGGCCTTTGCTTTAGGATGCCATAGGTGTTGATGAGGAATTCGCTAAACACCGGGTGAATATCTACCTGATAGCCCATCTTCTCCAGGCGGGCAGTCAGGTCTAGGTAGCGCTGGGTCAAGGTTCGATACTTTTTCTCATCCACAGAGCCATCTAGAGATTTCATGGAGACCTGGGGATTTTCAAATGTGCCCCCCCACTGTTAGTAATTTATGGGAATGCTCCTATGACTAACTTACATTTAGCACAAAGAAGAGCAGTAGAAGAAACATGTCACTTTCCTCCTCTATAGCAGTTTGAGTGCTGCAATGTCCTTGTAAAGGACATTGTCAGAATCAAAGTAGAATCCTCCCCAGAAGCTGATTTTTCCACATTGTCAATACTAAGCCCTCATAGTAATTTCATACATGGGAAATATCTGTGGAGGTGGCCTAGAGATAGAGAATTAAATTCCAGAGACACTAAGAACAATTTTTAATAGTAGTAGGTAGACCTGATTTTCTTCATAATCAGGTCATGCCAAACAAGTACAATTACTAAATATTTTATATAATTGTCCCCTAAAACAGTGGGTAATGTGCCAGCCAGGATGGAAGAGAACCAGAATGCAATAGTGAACTACAAACCAGGGTAATAAAAGTGTTGTTGAACCCATTAGAGATGAGTGAGCACCATGCTATCAAATCAACAAAATTGCTAATTTGTCATTCATAAAAATGGGGTTTACTCCTCAGAGTACTCTAACCAGATAAGAACACCCAGTAGAAGTTCACAACTGGTTATTTTAGCTACAACAACAAAAAAGGTGGCTGGGGTCTCAAAGCTACAAAACAGACAAACATGCTGAACAAAACAAAGGGCCAAGCATTTGTACAGAAAAGGTGAAGCATCACAGCTACATCACCAATTAGGGGATCACATTTTTGGTGCATGCATATTTGGTAGACAGCATTAGCATATCTCATAATGCTATTCAGTTTCATTATTTCTACTTCATTAACATGGTAGTTCTTTATCTGGAGGTGTATATTTTACTTGGGTAGTGAACAAACATGTACAAAACCTCAGAAACGTTTCTAAGAACTAGCTGTGCTAACTGGATCCCAGCACTATCATTTACTATGTTCAACTTCTGATGGAACACCACTTTGGGACACAGGATTGACGCCAAAAGTGGAACTGACTAGATCAGTCTAGTCCAGTGGTGCCCAACATTTGGCTCTCCAGGTGTTTTGGGATTCAGTTTCCTGAATTCCTAACAACTGGTAAGCTGGCTGGGATTTCTGGGAGTTGAAGTCCAAAACACCTCTAGGATCAAAGGTTGGCAACCACTGGACTAGACTGATGAAAAGTAGATTGAATGGGAAAGTCAATCAGACCATGGCTCAAAGAGTGCTCAAAATTACAATAAAAGGATCCCTAAATCTAAAATTACAGGATTTCAGGGTATATACAATTATGGGAAATGTGGAGAAAGTAGAGAGACTGAGGTTTTCACTGTTTATTAACACTTGAATTAAATACAGGTATTAATATTGTATAATTTGGCACCCCAAAATATACTGATGGCCAGACAACCTTAAAAGGGAATTACATAAATGTATAATGGTTAAGGCTGTCTGTGGCTACTATACAAATTTTGTCCAAACTGGGACAAGAGGCAGTCTTGTCCCAGCTGCTGAAGAACACAACCGGGATTGCTCTCATGCCTTCCTGGTGGGTTTCCCATAGGCAATGGATTGGTCACTTTAGGCCCTGTTAAACATTTTGCTTGATGCTGCAGGCATGTTTGGGTTTTTCTTTTTCGTGATAAAACAACATTATTTTGGCATATAGTTCATCTTGCATATAGTGAACTAAGTGGCAGTTGAGCGAAATTAGCATCAATTTGTCTCATTCAGCCCTAGACAAAAATGCTCTGACTTTCTCATTTACATGGAGGTTTACTCCCCATAGCAAAGTGCACTGAGCACTTCAAAGATTATACATTACAACTTTGTTAACAACACTGTAAGGAAGACCCTGAAGAAAGCATTAATATCAACAAATAGTATATTGAAGGCTTTAGGCAGCTGCTTTACCACCTAAATTTCTCAGCTTCAATGAAGGAATTGTTTTGACACATTTATCTTTGAATTGCAGGACTAAGTCTGTCACTTACCTGTTTGATCTTCTCAGGAATATTAGATACCGTGAATCCATAGAGTCGTGTGATGCCAGGAAACACGTGTGCAAGGATACGCCTGTCTAACTGAAAGGCAATCTCTCCCACTATGCGACCATTTCTCTTACTGTTTTCAGCAATTTCTATATCTGTTGGGAGCAGAAGAAATAGAAATAGATCATATTTAGCTTGGAAAAGAAAATAATATTATAGTTATTTGCGACAAAGTCAAGTTTGATTGATGGCAAACTTTTGAATGAGAGACCTCCATGAGCCCTGGCAATTAACTGCTCTGCTCAGATGTTCCAAATGCAGGATCTGCCATCCTTAAATATTTGAAGAGATGTATTATCAGCTTAAAACCTTAAAGTAATTAGATTCCATCTGATCTCAGAAGCTGAGCAGGGGCAGTTCTGATTAGAGTTTGGATAGGTGACCACCAACAAATACCAGGTGCTATAGGCTATATCTCAGAAGAAGTAACTGGCAAAACCACCTCTGAGTATTCATTACCCAAGAAAGCCCTATGAAATTCATAGTGTTGCCTTAAGTAAACAAATGATTTGAAAGCACAAACACAACGTAGAAAATGGAGTTTGTGGCTACTTCCATCTAAACATTTGGAAGAGTATTGATGGTAAACAGTATTTGGCAATGGAATGAACTACTTTGGAGGCTGGTAGCTTTTACTTCTTTGAAGGTCTCTAAACAGAAGTTAAATGGTCATTTTTCGGGAATGCTTTAGCTGTGGTTTCCTACAGTGACCTCGGTGGGAGACAGATTACGGACTAGATGGTCCACGAAGCCCTTTCAGGTGTATGATTCTATATTTAGATTTGATTTTAGTATTCAAATAGACATATCTGAAATGAAATGTATTTCATTTCCAATAGTTTTTGCTCATCTTTATAACAGCTCCATGCCAACCTTTTTATTGTACCCAAAACAGATCCATTATAGATGTAAAGTGATCCTAAGGGCAATAAATCTGCAGAACCCTCTGTAGAAGGCCCCTACATTGGCAGTCTTTAGAAAGAACTTGAAGACCTGGCTATTCCGATGTGCCTTTCCAGAATAGGAAAACTCCAACAACAAGTCCCAGAAGCACTTTATTAGAATTAAGATTGCTGCACACTGCACTTACCCTATAATCCTTACATATCACCTGTCACATCAGCACTTTTAATTCTGTACCCATTACTCTGGCCCGGCCCAGTTTTATTGTGTCTTGATGTATTGTTTATTGCTTGTTGTTTAATATTGCTTTAATTGTTTTAATTTGCTTTAGGTTTTGTATTGTTATGTTGTGTTTTGAGGCCTTGGCCTTTGTAAGCCGCATCGAGTCCTTCGGGAGATGCTAGCGGGGTACAAATAAAGATAATAATAATAATAATAATAATAATAATAATAATAATAATAGAAGTTAATAAAACACTGCGAAATATCTTAAGAACATAGTCCTAAGAACACAATGTCATTTTTCCTATGGGGACTTGTTCAAGGAAAATGACAAAATAGAAGATAACTATACTGTGTCCAGTTCTGGGCAACACAATTCAAGCGGGATATTGACATGCTGGAACATGTCCAGAGAAGGGCAACTAAAACGAAAAAGGGTCTGGAAACCATGCATAATCTCTAAAAGGAGTGGTGATTCCAATGGCACGTATTAAGAGGTCTTTAGTATGTCACATGTGTCATAATAAATTGTGGCAAGTTCTTGGTAGTATGGGCATACCAAATCACCTTATCTCTCTCCTGCGTAATCTATATAAGGACCAAGGAGCAACAGTAAGAACTGACCATGGAACAACAGACTGGGAAAGGCGTACGGCAGGGTTGTGTATGCAGAACACATCATGCGATGTGCGGGTCTTGACAAAAATGCAAGGCTGGGGTGAAAATTGCTGGAAGAAACATTACAACCTTAGATATACAGATGACACCACTTTGATGGCCAAAAGCGAGGAGGAGCTGAGGAGCCTTCTAATCAAGGTGAAAGAAGAAAACGCAAAAGCTGGGTTGCAGTTAAACATAAAAAAACCAAGATTATGGCAACAAGAATGATTGACAACTGGAAAATAGAGGGAGAAAATGTGGAGGTAGTGACAGACTTTGTATTTCTAGGCGCAAAGATTACTGCAGATGCAGACTGCAGCCAGGAAATCAGGAGACGTTTACTTCTTGGGAGGAGAGCAATGACCAATCTCGATAAAATAGTGAAGAGTAGAGACATCACACTGGCAACAAAGATCCGCATAGTTAAAGCAATGGTATTCCCCGTAGTAACCTACGGATGTGAGAGCTGGATCATAGGGAAGGCTGAGCGAAGGAAGATAGATGCTTTTGAACTGTGGTGTTGGAGGAAAGTGCTGAGAGTGCCTTGGACTGCGAGAAGATCCAACCAGTCCATACTTCAAGAAATAAAGCCTGACTGCTCATTGGAGGGAAGAATAGTAGAGGCCAAGATGAAGTACTTTGTCCACATCATGAGAAGAAAGGAAAGCTTAGAGAAGACAATTATGCTGGGGGAAAATGGAAGGAAAAAGGAAGAGGGGCCGACCAAGGGCAAGATGGATGGATGGTATCCTTGAAGTGACTGGATTGACCTTGAAGGAGCTGGGGGTGGTGACGACTGACAGGGAGCTCTGGCGTGGACTGGTCCATGAAGTCACAAAGAGTCGGAAACGACTGAACGAATGAACATGTGCCCTACTTGAGTAGAGTCTTGCTTTCATGGGAATCTGAATTCTATAATAACTGGCATTTCAGGGGGAAAGGATTCTTGTTCTCCAACAAAGTAGCACCCTGTGTTACTAATATCAGTCGTCAAAATAGGAAATCAGAGAAATTATTTGGTGACTGGACCCTAACAGCCCTAAACCTACACCCAGAGAAGGCAGATTGTTGAATTAGACAGCCCATAGGTAGCCAATATGCTGTAGTGGCTTGAGTGTTGAATTATGACTATGGAAACCAGGGTTTACCATTCTCAGCACATTATAGAGCACTAATTCTCTGACCTTCATTCCTGCTTGGCTTTTGATGAGGAAAAACAAAACTCTCAGGAAGTTGTAATTGTAGGCCCCCTGTGTGAAATAGAGGTTTGGCCATCTTCACTTGTGTTGACACTGACAATTTTGTACAGGAATCTACAGGACAAGACAGTTTTTCCCACACAGTAAGCGTACCAAAATGATTTCTTTGAGATCCCTTATTAGAGAAGAAATGCTTTCCATTTATCGCAGGGTTTTCACATTCAGCAACATCTTAACATTACCATTTAAGTAGAATGTATGGAACTTCCTTAACTTGTCTGAATCAGGCCCATCCGAAAAAGAAACTTTCTTCTTCCTAGACAACTCTTGTGATTCTGGCTGTGTTTTATCTACACTAGAGTCCTGGGCAGTGCTGAACAGATGATAAGACTGTCTTTCAGAAATCCTTGAGGAGGAACCTCCTTTGCATATTTTAAGATCATCAGGAAATGAGCTCTGTGTGAGGGCATCCTCTTTGGTCGCTTTTGAGGAAGCTAGCTCTTCTTGCCATGATGGTGAGTGATTTAGCAGGTCTTTTGAACCAAGTGTTCGTCCAGCTTTGTTGTGAGCTATAACAACAGAAAATATTTGATGAATTTCAGCAAGACAAACATCTGGCAGAACCTCACACATGACCAAATGTACCCATAAGTAACATACAAGATCATCACAGATTCCTCCTTGCCTCTGTGAGCAGACTATATAGGCTTTGGCCAAGGTAATAAATAATTTGCTAATAGTTTTATCTATCCGTACTTGATTATTTGATTTTACATGATTTCACATTATTTGTTATTTTAATTATGATGTTTGATTTTGCACAGCTACGCTTGACTCTCTTGCGTATTTTAGTGGGGAAATTGGATACAAATGTAATGAATAAAAATATAAATAATGAATATTCATCCTCCCTTTGCACTCTTTCCCCCCAGAAACCCCAAAAGAGTTCTGGTTATAGATTTTTCAAATTATTGGAAAGCCATTACTCAATTATGTAATAATGTGTTAATTAAAAAAATCGATTATAGTTAGGAGCAAAGCATGAGATCAACAGGAGACATTAAATGCCATATGAACAACAGATAGACCAATCTGATCTCCTCCTGAATTTCTGCTGACTAGACTTAATGATTGTATGTGCTGTGTGAATTTTTATACAGTGCAAAACCCATCCTGCATACAGTTAAAGGGCACTATTTTTTCACAGTTCTTTATTATCATTTGCACTTTGAAACTAGTACAGGCAATTCTTGAGTTAGGAACAAGATAGGTTCAATAGAGTACTTCTTAAGTTGAAGTTGCAGGTAAGTCAGAACAGATACATTTTAAGTGTAACTCCAAATGTGTGTGTATGTATCAATTCATCCATCCTGTGGTGTCTGTTTTACCGTCTGTGCCGTTACAAAGTTTTTACCTCACTTTCTGTTCTTAGGCTTTATCAGACTAGCCTTTTAAAGCAGGCACCCCCCCCCCCCCTTCTTAGCGTTTTCTGCCTCCTGCAGAACTCTGGAAAATGTAATTTGGGAAGATGAGAACATCTCTAGCTGAGAATACCAAAGGCCCCACCCAAAACTACATTTCCCAGAATTCTGGAGATGACAGAAGACACCAAGAAAGCAGGTGCCTGATAAAGCCCCCTGTGATAACTGGATTCTGAAAAATTGGGAAGCAAGGATTGGTGAGAAAGCTTCAGTGGAGACACCTTTTCCCCATAAATCTTTCAGGAGTGAATTTCTCTTCCTAGGGGGCAGATTTCTCTCACTTCCTGTTGTCTCACCCCTGTTCTTAACAATGAGCCATTTATAAGTTGGATGTTTGTAACTTGGGGACTGCCTATGTCAATAATACTTTTTTAAAAAAAAAAAGATTCTTTTTATTGCAATTTCAGTTAGGGAGGGTATATCAGAACAACTTTTACAGTTTTACACAAAGAACAACATTAGACATATAGATTCTCTATGACTACATTGGATGCACAAAAAAATTACAGCTACATTGGAATTTTACCATATCTACTAATCATTCACATACATTCACCCTTGATCATGCATACATACATCACCATTCTTCCTCCGTCTCCAGGGGAAGAACACCTGCATATAGGGTGATTCCCTAGCACTAAAATGGAGCAAAGCCAAATTAAAGCAAGAAAATCTGGAACGGTCAATGGGGCACGGGACAGAGATTGTGCTGGTCTCCATCACGGATAACCTTCGATGCCAGCTTGACCAGGGTGGGTCAGCGCTGCTTGTGTTATTGGATCTCACAGCAGCATTTGACACAGTCGACCACAATCTTTTGATCCATCCGCCTTGCTGCTGCTGGAGTCAGACGGACAGCTTTAAATTGGCTGTCCTCCTTTCTTCACAACCGTGGACAGCGAGTGGAGAGGGGAGGCCTGGTCTCTGAGAGGTCCCCTCTATCTTGTGGGGTTCCTCAGGGGGCCATTCTCTCCCCTCTGTTGTTTAACATCTATATGCGACCACTTGCTCAGCTGGTTCGAGATTTTGGGCTTGAGTGTTACCAGTACGCCGATGACACTCAGCTGGTGCTGAAGATGGAAGGCCGACCGGACTCTGTACCCGATTGTTTCCATCAGTGC